CTTACTCGCTACTACTGCTGTTTGGAACAGAACGAGCACAAAGAAAAGGTAATCATTACCAATTTTGACACAATTTATTTTTCCACTCATACTAGTTGGCGACTGGCTATCGAGAGTCGCGTTTTTCATCTGCTAATTACTCCAAACGTGTTTTGTCAGATGATGAACAGAAAGCTTCTTCTTTCACATGTTACACAAATCATCTACAAAAAGTAGTTGAACACTTAAACAAGCACAACGTCTTCAACAAAACTCAATTCGACTTTCATCTACAGTTGATGCGCTAGCTTATTTAACGCGTCGGATCTTTGAAATATTGGATGAAACACTTCCTGGTTGTTCAAGTGGAGCTTCATTCCTCATCAAATAATCTTAAGTAGATTATTATGCGCTGGTGTAAACGGGAACCTTTTCTATGATTTTGTTCGTATCGCAGAAGCTAGCAAGTAAGGCTAAATTCTTCTCTATCAGTCGCTCAAGAGAAGCATTCTTCTCTTTGCAATCGTATATTTCTTGTATCGACTATTTCATCTCATACGTCCTCGAGTCGCTTCGCTAATGTCAGCGTCAGTCGTAAACTATCGAGTACCAATGAAAGACATCTAGAGGAGCTCAAGAGCTTTCTGGACATCCATTTCCATTTTTTCACACATATAATAACACAGAAATCAATAAAACATCGAAAAGTTTTGGAGATTGATAAGACTCTAAAACTTTCAATTTTTCGCTTCTACATTTTATAACAAGACTTTTAATACGTACAGAGAACAGAATTTAGAATCTTTTGAAAGAAAATTCAAGAAGAGGGCATGAAAGATAAGAGTTATTCAAAACGTTACGAAAACCGCCATTCTCCATAGGCCAGAAAGTAAATCGAGGAATAGACAGTTTCGAAAGCTGATTCTTTGCGAAACACTCCTTCGAATCACGTAATAAAAAAGAAATCAACTTTCTGTGTGTCGAAGATCTCTAAAAAACTAATCATCAAGCGTAAATAATCATAAAAATCCACCTGTGTTTTTATAAAACCGAGTCGTCTCAATTCGTTCATTAAAAAATATTTAAAATATAATTAAATCTTTATTCTAAAAAATATAGAAAGCTTTCTAATTACAAAAAAGAAACAAATAAACAAATATATTTCTTTTCTTTCTTGTACATACGTATAAGTGTGAGAATATTGCTCTTTTCTGTAGAAGGTAAAATGAGATAGCAAAATTTAATTTCATTCATATACAAAAAAGAAATAGCTTAAATAGGAAATGCACTTAAGTTAGCTTCTACGTCTGAGTCAATTAAATTAGTAAATAAAAATAGAGAAATAGACTGTAAGCTCTTCTTCATTAAAAATAAAACTGTTCTATATTTAAATTGTAAGAAAACCCTTAACTTAAGTGGGAAAAAATAACGTAAAGAGACTTAAAGATTGTTAATAGTTTATGCTTAATTTAAAAGTAAAATTCTTTTACGTCATAATGCAATACACAGAAGAATAATCTTACAAAATGAAAAACAAAGCATATAAAGAATGTCAATTTGTTTATTCTCTCAAAATTACATCTTCAATAATGCAATGTATCTAAATAATTCAAACATTATTTCTTTCAACATTATCTTGAAAACTAACATAACTAAATATGTGCATACCCTTTTACTCTCGAACAATGATGGTTTCAAACTTATAACACTATTAATCGACATATCAATTTCAATTTTTATCATAGTAAAAAATACGATGTTTTTTCTTTCTAACTATAAATATTCTCACAAAAACTTCTTGTACAAATACACGATTAGATTATACACACATCCATATAGAGAATAATAAAATTCTTGATAGAAGTGAAATTTTTCTGATCAATGAAAATTGAATAAACATTTGTAATATTAAAATTTCGATGAAATGTTTTCAGCTATTAAATAGAACAGAAGAAGCACCTAGCATACCACAGGCATATCTACTTCTACATGAATAATAATCTAAGAGAAGAATGAAATAAAAAGAATTAATTCTATGTAGTAAAATATCCAATTGATAAAAAATAAAACGAATGAAAATAATGATTAATGTACGTTTGTATCTGGAGAGATTTTTTGATCTAATGATGAAGAACTATCATCATCTTCAATTGATTCAGCTTGAAACTGTTTCCATAAAATATTTAATTCATTGAAATAATAAACAATAATCATGTTTAAAATGAATAAAATAATAAAAATTGTTTGTAATACCCATGGGGAAAAATAACTCGATATTGTTCGTCGTTTTGATCTCTAAAAGCAAAAAAATAAGAATAATATACAAATCGAATCGGAAAATGTTTACTTGATAACTTTAATATATTTACATCAAGCGAATTTATGTTTTCAATAGTAGATGTATATTTTTCTTTACTATCTTTGCTCCATGGTAGTTTTAACGATTGTAATTGTTCATCTGTTATTCTCATCTTTTCCAATAATCTATCATATTGTTTTAATTTATTTTCTTGTTCATTTGGCGTTTTTATAAAAATTGTTGGATAAATTTTTTTTACATAATTTCCCATTGTGTTCATTTTCTTTTGAAAACTATTATTAATATCACGTAATTGATTGTGTAAAATGTTTTTTCTATCATCCGATTTATGATTTAGAGGAAAACGTTGTGTTTGTAATAAACGATTTCTTGGTTGTGAATGAATGACTTGTCCATCTCCTAGTTCATCATAATATCGTTCAAGATCTGTTTGATGTTTTCGAATAGGAATTTCAGTAGTAGGTGATATTTCATTATTAATAAGTAAATCTTTTTGTTCCATAATTGTACGATTAGGTGTATGAACTGTTGGCGTTAGAAATAACTCATTTGTTGTGATGGATAATGGTAACAATTGAGAAAATTTGGTAGACGATGGAATAAGCAATGTTCGACGATCTAAAACGGGAATAAATGATGTGGAAATTGGTTGAATATTATTCGAGGTGTCAGAACGCGATATTCGTTGATTGCCTCTCATTGGAAATAAATGTTTAGTTTGTCTGAAATTAGAAGAAAAATATCAATTAGAAGCCTGTATGAAAAAGTATATCTTAAATCTAAGAAAAATATACTCATTAAATTTAGTATGACTGACTCATTATGAATTGAGTATAAATATATAACTTTTAAACAGTTTGGATTCGATATTTTTTGATTCGGTCTATAAATATAAAATGTTACTGATATTAGTTAAACTTTGAGTTTATTACTCTGAACCGTTACTGAAATATAGCTGAAACACATGGAAGGATGCTCTACTTGTCAAAAGTCCGACTGTTGTCTATATTCACTGGTTTTTTCACAGAATTCGTTACATAATTGCGGTAAAAAGTGGCAAAAAGCAGAAAAATGCAGGATCCAAAATATTACGCATCGTGATGTTTATTCTGGGATATTCAACCATATTGTGTGCAAAATTTTAGTACAAGTCTCATTCATTATGTCTCACAATCGTGCGAAATGCTGTGACAGTTTATAATTTTTCGCGAAATTGTGTCATAATGAGAATTCTCCTAAAAGTTTGCTCACAATATGATAGCATATCCCAGAACAAACATCACGATGCGGAATATTGTGGATCCTGCATTTTTCTACTCTTTGCCACGTTTTACAGTATGAACCTGTTGACTATAAAATTGTTTCTCTATACACCTTTGACTAATGCATTGTTACTAAGAGAATTAATAGTCATTGAAAGCGTTCAGTTTTTTAGAAATACCGCCGGTTTGAAGAGACTGAGTAAAAAGAAGCTCCTTTCTGTATTTCAAATGTTCAGTTTCGCTTTTTGGCTACTGAAAAATTCTAATCTTACAACTCGAAATAGAATCGCATAAAATTAGAGAAGATAAAATCTATCTACTTTTTGAAAATAAAATTTCTTAGAACTGAACTAAGACATCGTCAATAAATCAACATCGTGTGTGTATAATTATCGATTTTTCAAGTTCGGATAGTGTCGGTATGCCTGAGGAAAATTTATGGGGAGATTGAATTTATAAGACATAAATCCCTTTGCAGCTCTATATGTTGGAAAAAAAACGAATTTAAACTGTAATCTGCTTCTGACACATACAATACATTGAGGAAATATCTACAGTCAAAACCGCATTGTTTAAAAAGTAAACTTTTTCTATTTGATTCATAATATTTTATTTTAACAATCAATCTGTAAACTCACTTAATCGGCTTATTCTGTGATATGTCATTGGTATGCCGTGTCGTTCTTCTATCATCATCATTTGTTCGTCCATCGTGAATATATTCTCTTACTGGTGACCATGAAACATGTTTTTTCTGTTGTTTGTTTGGTGCATATTTTGTCGAAAATGTATGCCATAAATATGGTTGATTTGGTAAAGGTTCAACTTCTTTGGCCATTTTTGCTGCTAGTCGTTTTTCCGATAACGAGCGAGAACGTTTTTCAACAGAACCTTGAATCATGGCAGAACCACCAATAGACGTATTCTTTCCTCCCATGTTTGGTAGTAGACCTGAATAAGATTTTATCAATGATTTTTTAATGAATGTACGTGTTATAGATGTTGAAGGTATTGGTACACGCTTTTTTTCCAATGGTTTAACAAACATTCGAAAATATTCTGTTTCAAAATTAGATGGACGTCGTGTTAGAAGATCATCTTTATGAAATATATCACTTGTGGGAATAAACAGGCGATTTTGAACTTTATTTGGTGAAACATCACGTTTATGCATGGATAATATTCGTTCAACTTCATCGAAGTTGAGTCGAGATTTTACGATTGGTTGCTGTTGTTTTTGTTTTACATTAATTGTAGTATTTTCTAGTATTGCTAATTTTGGTTTCGACGTTTTTGATTTTGTTGAAAGAGATGTTTTTTTATCTGATTGACTCCTAGTTTTCGGCGTTTGTGTTGTGAGAATTGTTGGTGTAATCTCATTCGACTGTTGTTTTAATGATGATATTGAAACATCGTTGTATAGTTTGTCTTTCTCGTTTTTTGAATCGGTTGAGACGATAGGAGCTTCTAAGTTTTCAATCTGCGGTGTGGACTAAAATGTAAACGTACACGTCTTGTCAAACCCCAAACTATACAATGCATCATTTACCTGCTCATTTTCATTGTTAACAGTCTCATCTAAACTGTCTACTACACTAGTCATTGAATTATTTTTCTTTAATAAGTTGCGATTATCTGTTTGATTCTCATCACTTTCACTTATTACTCCTTGATTATTGTCATCTTGTTGTGTTATTTGATGGTTTTCCACAACGTCCATATCAAGGAAATCTGTTTCTTCAGCTGGTTTACTCGTTGTCTTCTCATTTGAATAAAAATGTTTTGTTACTTCATCTTCATTTGTTTCAATATCAAGTATACGTTCTTTTTTCAATATCACATTTTCAACAATATCTTGTTGAAATTCTTCAAATGAATAATCGCGTAATGAGTGAGTTGGTCGATGATTTTCTGATAATTCATCTTGAAATTCGTCTAATATTGACGTTTCTTCAATTGCTTTACGTTCTTCTTCGAGAAAACTATCATCCATATTAGTTAAATTGGTGAATGGATTCGGATTTTTGACAATTAACGATTTTGTATCGGATAAACTATCATTTAAATTATCTGTCATATCCTTAAGGGAAAATAAAATAGCTATCTAGATCTAGTAGTTAGGTTGCAATATTCTAAAAATGAGCCCAATCAAAATTATAGTTTTGATGTGTTATATATCTGGTATCAAATAATTATTTTATTTATAAATTCAAGCGTAATTTGCATATTTTTCACTTTATTTCTGGTGTATCGAGGTTCTAACAGTAAGTGATTTTAAGAAAAATTTTAACCTCTCCTTTCGATTAAATAAAAAGTGTATGATACAAAACATCTGCATTTTTATCGGTTTTTTTCCCGTACACACGTTTATCGTATCAATTTCTTCCCTGTCTATTTGAATTTTATCTTACATGTTGACTTTGTTGCATTTCTTCATCTTGATGTTCTGTAATCGTTGGTAAAATTACATGCTCATCAACATCAATATCATCGTCAATTTTCATATTAAATTCATCAGTTATTAAATCATCAAGTTTATTCATCGTACAAGAAAAGATTTCAATAAACGTTGAGAGAAAAATAAACAGGAAAAAGTTTTGAAAAATATGATCAGTCTAGTTTACCAAATCTATTAGGAAGCGTAGCAGCTGCTTAAAGTTTAAAAAAATGCAAAATGATGGAGACTAATGCTAAAGTAACAAGAGGAAAGAGGAAGAGAGTCGCACTTCTTTTTTTTCTTTTTGGAGACCTTGTCTTGTGAAAAAAAAAGAATAGGGAATAATACTGTTTGTGAAGAAAAAGATGGCCATCACAAAAAAAGAAAAATGTCACAGCTGGGAGTTGTTAAAAATATATCAGTATCATTTGAAAAGCAATGTGTTGTTTTCTACTGTCTGAAGATGATGTATGTGTATACGTTTCAATTGCTATTTGACTATATTTAAAAGCTTTTAAAAACTTTCTTAAAAAAACTATCTCACGGAAAAAAATACTAGGCATTCCAGGGTAACAGTTCTTGTATTACAATCTTGTAACAAAAAATTCAAACATTTCATCAAATCTTATAAGATTATTACCTGAAGAAACGTTAAAGTTCATCTATAAGAACAATGTTTTATATGTATACTATATAGATCATAGAAAAATGTATATTGTACAGATGAGTCATTCATTGCTTCTTGCAAGACCTAGTAGAATTGTAAGTTTTTATCACAATTACTAGGATCCATATTATTTTAGAGAATCTTATGACAACATCTTGCTATAGTAATTCATAAGATAACGATAGATCTATGCTAAGTGAATTTCAGTTAGGATATATGCATAGTGAGCTACAACCACAACGATACAAAAGTTATAGAATATCAAGGGTTTCAAGTGAATTGAGCATCGTCTCGTTCTGTGTAGATAAAACTATTTTTTTTCGATGGTAGCCAATGTTTCTCAGCGTCAAAATGGAAGTTTTTACGTAAAATTTACAAACATCTAAGACCACTTATTACATGACACTAGTAAAATGATGGGTAGGTCTACTGACACTCCCAAAGAAAATACTTGGATTTTTTTAAGAGTTTGAGAAATCTTTGGAAGTAAAGGGCTCTTTTTCACTGATATTAAGTACATAACCAAGCTGAGCGGATGAAATAAGTCTATATTAATATTTTGCAGTAATTTTGATGATCGTCTTTTGTATGTTAACACATAGCACACTTAAGAGATTTACCGACTCTTTCGTGAACTGCGTTTACTGACTCACAGATCAAGAGCAAATAGTGCTGGATCACATGTTTTAAAAAAAAGCACGTTCATAGTCTTCAACGTATTACCACCTGAAAAAATGATCCGCAACTTTACTGGAAGTACTGCCCTTCTCGGAATTTTCACATCTGAACGAGTATCGATCATGGGCTTCCCCAGAGATCCCTTGCCACGAAAAATAAAGAGATCACTTCATTTCCATTTTGAAGAGAGCACTCTGAACTATCTATGCATGAAATAAAGCGAAAATATTTGTATGCGGACGTTCGAAATACGGCCTGTCCACGTAACGGTCCACTTTTCGTACGGCCGTAACGTTTTGCCAACATTACAAATCTGTGATAGAAGATCATACAGAGCTCGAAGACGTCTTATTTTAACGAGTAAACATTGTTCATTAAATTGATAATCAAGCAAATGCTGGCATTTTTATTCCGTATTTATATGCAAGCTACAAACTGAATGTTCCATTCGTACGCCCCACATGTATTTCAGCGTTTTAAATCTATAAACCTATCAACTATTAGTATTTTCTTGATCATTAATTTAAAGAAAAATGTTTGCCCTTTAAAATAAGATATCTTCCGACTTTATATGAACTAACCTGGTTTTCCAAAGATTTCATCAAATCGACTGTCTTGATCTTGTTTCTATCAAAAGCTTTTGACAAAACAGCCACACACAGACGTTTTGGATAAACAGTACTCGAACGTTCGAAAGAGGCAAAATTTTTCGTAAAATATTGTTTTGTTCTCGAGATATAAACAAAAACGATGAAATTCCATCACGATCCGTTGTTTCACGTTTAAACCATTATATGTCGGAAAAGGAACATTTGATGAAGAAAAATCGCAAAGATTCCGGATAAGTTTCATTTTGAAGGACACACTTATGAGCGAAATTTTGTAAGGTGAAAATGCCATGTTTGAAGATCCTGAATATATTTTTCGAGGATCCGAACCATCAGTGCTAATTATCATTTACAAACAACCTTTGCAGGCATCAAATGCAAGAAAACTGCGGTACTCCGAGCTACGGCTGGACGTGACAATAGCCATTATGAAAAATATTTTACTTGTGTGCTTCTCTTTAACGCGGTGCTGTGATAGTTAGAAAAATTCGAATATTTAACAGAGTACGGGCAAATACTTACTTGAATAATACAATAATACAAAATTACATTGCTGACAAGATTTTAAAACATTATGATAAAAAGCTAATTATTTGTACTAACTGGAACGGGTCACGGGCCTGTGTATCCAGTCGTTTTTAAGCTCAATTAATGGATCTGACACTCAAGTAACGATGATGCGTACTCTAAAAAAAAGTCGTATTCTCGAAAACCGACAAAAAGTGTTTTAGCTCATCGAAAAATTAGAATGAGTTTTCGACTAACACTCAAAAATAGAAATGAGTTTTGCGAGCTAATCACAAACACATATCAAAAAGGTCTTTGAAGTTCAAATGGATTTCTCAAATCATCAGAAAATTTTATCCGTTTCCTATAGCTTCATTTTTGGAAGCCATTCAAAAGTTTTTGAACTCTCGAGAATGATACAAAATCCTTAAAAATACTAGAAGGGTTTTTGTAAATGAAACTGTAGGAAACAGATAAAAGTTTTCGATGCTCTAAAACCCTTTTAGTCGGTTTTTAAGAACATGATATTTTTAAAAGAGCATTCGTGATATTCCATGGCGATCCCATAGATGTGCTGTACACAATACGTGCTGTAACAACTACAGTTATTAGCGAGTTACCTTTTCTTTTTCGGAGCTATGATGAGAAAGCATTACATCAGCAAGAGAATGACACGTCAAATCGAAATACATCAAGAACAACAAACGATGTTAGAGTCATCAAAGCGCGAAATACAAAATTCACTCGACAAGTTCATAATGATGATGAATTTTTAAGTAAGTGAATTACCGAAAAAAATATTTAATTTCACATTCGTTAGCTTTTTTTAATGAACAGTTTAATCTGTAAATTTTCGAATGTTAAGTAATAATCTATCATCTACTTAAATAAAATTGATTAATGATCTGATAATAAATATTAGATCTTATTAAATTTATTAAATTGATGATCAATCAATTTAAGATAGAAGATAGAAAAGTTTTCCTAATGAATTACACATAGCATGCAAATCTTCCCAGGAAATCGTTGATTTAAGTTTAAAACAAAAATATATTTTAGAAAAAATTAGGTTTTAGTTGATTTTGGCATGCGGAGATCGTTGACCAAAGAATTCTCTGCATCTTCTTCCCTGGAGAAAAAATTTAAGTGGCGACGCAACCGAAGGAGATGATTATGAATATCACATTTATTATGATAAAATGCTAATCGTGTCCATATTCTCAAAAGGTTTTTACTTCTTAATATTTTCCTACTAGTTCTACAGTTGAAAGTGACGGAACTGGAGCCATCGAAGAGTTTAAAAATATTTTTGAAAATCAATAAATTTTGGCAAAAACTTAATTTGTGCATAAATCTATCCCTTGTTCAAAAAAGATTGAATGAAAATTTATCAAGAAATAATATACGCGTTGTTAAAGTGCTATGGATTTGACATTTTCGAACCCGAACCCAATTCTATTCCGTAGGATGCAAACTAGTTTCAAATCTAAACAAGAAAAAAAGCTTTTTAGAATCTCGATTCTAGATCCGCGTGTCCATAATCAAATTAATCTTACAGGACTCTACTCGTTGAAAGTAGAGAGTCAAGAGCAATAAGGACTGAAGACGAAAGGTTTTTTGAATAGATTGTGGAGATGATGATGAGGCTCGTGTGATGCCAATGAACTAACTACTAAAATAGTAGCAAAAAACGATGATGAAAATGATTATGATATAGAAGACATTCTCTCTTCAATATTATCAAATTAAAAAACAATTTTCATTTGTCTTAATTGTTGTAACATTGTAGAAATATGATGTTTTGAAACTAGAAATATAATGTACATTTACTAAAAGAGGAAAATAAAATGGGATAATAATGGAACATGAAGATACCCGCAGACAGCACACCAACATCCACAGATAGCCACTGACAGCTACACAGACAGCATAGAGACACCCACAGACAACCCAAAATAACTACACAGATATCCACTTCTGTGTCGCTTCCATGTCCGTAGAAGTAGATGTCTGTGTAGCTATTTTGGATTGTCTGTGGGTGTTTCTATGCTGTCTGTGCAGCTGTAAGTGGCTATCTGTGGATGTCGGTGTAGATGTCTTCATGTTTTACTATTACCCAAATAAAACGTACCATTCCTTATTTAAGTCTCATTTGACCAACTGTCTATTTTCGAATAGATTTATAGTGTCTAACCACGACTATTTCTGAATAACAAACTTGTGAACTCTGCAGTAAATAGAGCATATCTACATGAAATAATACGTACAATGTTTTGTGTGATAGCAAAAAATGTGTATTAAAACATACGTTTCTGGAAAGTGAATTACAAATGACATTCAACGTCATCATCCATATTCAAAACTAAATTTAGAAAAACAAAACAAAATAATCACCTTTACTATAAAACTAGACAATTATTTAAAACGAAAGAAAAAAAAGTACCGGGATAAAATCTATTTACAAAAACAAAAAGTAAAAAATTCTTCAAAAGAATAGAAACATCCATCAGATGCAATTCAAGTGAATAACTCGTTATTTAAGGAATTTTTCTCATGTTCGATGTGTATATTCGAAGTATATGATTGTTGTAATCACATGTTAAATTCCAATTTAACCAATAAGATGTTTGAAATGATTGTTGAATTTGTTGTCGTTCTTGTTCATCTATACCACGAACAGATTGTGACATAAAACATTCAAATATTTTTAAATTATTTAAATTCATTAAAAGATTTATCCATTTTTTACTATTAGTAAATTCACTTATTGTTGAATAAAATATTAAATGTTTTAAAGTGATAAATGATAACATAAGTAATTGTTCTAATTCTTCAAATTTTAAATAGGAGCGAACAATTAATTTAAAATAAATTAATGATGGTAATATAAAATTTTCTGATAATGAAAATGTTTCTATAATATCATCACACATTTGAATAATTAAATATTTTAGTTTTTGAACATGTTTTAGTATTACATATAAATCATTCAATGAACATTGATTAATATTTAAATATATAAGATTTGAAGTAGATGATGGTGATGTTAAATTAGAATATGTAAAAAAACATGTTGTAGAAAGTGAACATCGTTTTAATGTTGAAATTGATAATATAGCACCAAAATTAAAATTATCATTGAATTCATACGTAAAAATGTCCAATGATGATAAGTGATTAAATGATGAAAAAATATGAATAGGACATACTGTTAGATTAACTAATTTGAGATATTTTAAATTAACAAATTGTATTAATTGAAGATATGATTCATAATCATTCATACTAATTTTAACCGATGTTATTTGTTTAGAAAATATTGGTATCAAATAATGACGTAATATTTGATCATTTTCAATAGAAACATTAAGAAGATTAATTTTCCATTCAATATGATATAGTAATGAATTAATATACGTATTTAAATTATACAAAGATCGATACAAATCAATTGATGACAGATATTGAAATAATTCAAAGAATAATTCCGTTGGTAAGGATTCTAATCTCGTGACCATTGCACTCAAATCTAAAACGAATCAAATAATCACTATCTTTCTACTAAATTCTGACTTTTTATTAGTCAGATAGTGTGATACAGGACTCCGTATGATCCGATCCAGGACCAAATTGGACCGGATCGTAATCCATTTGGTCCTAGGTTTTAAAAAGTTTAATGGTTCGAACTGGTTCCAGTCCCAGAACTATTGGTCCGAACTGATCCTGGTTAGAAATTTTTTTTGGAAATCTCTTTACGACTAGATACGCTTTGTTGAACAAATTGAGAAACCGTTTGTTATCATGTTTGATAAAAATGGAAATTAAACAATTTTTCGTTACACAATAGAAATGGATCTTCAAAAAGGAGGACAAAAATTTTCATGGTCCGAAAAATTTATGGTCCGGATTGATTCTGGTCCCAAATTTTTTTATCGAAAATGGCCCGAAGCGGTCCTGGTTCAAAAACAGTTGTTGTTCAGTCTCAAAAATCGGGACCAGACCGAACGCGACGGAGCAATGGTGTGATAGAACTTGAATTTGAAAGAGTATTTTATGCCCAAGAAAACATTTCGTAACAAAGAAAAGTATACCAGAGGCTAGCAAATACAGTGCCAACACATGGAAACGAGAACAATTTTATAAGAAGAGACTATAGAAGAATAGGTCGCGTATCCCTCTACTAAACGAATTTCCGAAGTAATTACTTACTTACTTTACTTTAAACCCGACAAATAACAGTGACTTAAGCAAAAATATCGAAACGAAACTATTTAAAAGTAATGTATTCATAACAGATTTTACACTTTGATAGATAATGTGTTAGATCTTCCTTCTAACAGAATTTTCTGAAAAACTTTGAAATTATAGTACATTTCATGTCACACTTTGAATCACACGACGATAAAAAGTAGCTCAAATAGAGAACATTTTAGAGCTATGGATTAATGAATTGCATGAGAATAGTTTAAAATGATTTATGCCACTTTATACAAATTTTTACTACGGTTTTAGAATTTTTAATGGAAACAAACATTGCCACGAAACTGAGCGTGCTTAATAATCCATGTTGAAATGACATGTCATAATCTACATCGAAACAAAACAAAACAAATTCAGGATGTTGTTCTAAAAACATAATTTTTTCGTCCAACGGTTTTCTAGAAACTCTCTCGAAAACTATAACGTTTTATAAAATGTTTTTGTACATTTATACTAAAGTATAACATTCGAAAAAGGATATTGCTTTTCGCTAATTTATAGTAAGAACTTGAAGTTATATGTTCATGAAAAAAATCAAATGAAGTCTAGAGATTGTGATTCTGAAAAATTCTATTGGGCTTTTCATGTTAATAGCATGCTTAGATAGAGCGATATTTGCTGTACAAATCTATGCAAGTGCGAATTCTCAAGATTTTCTCATTCGAATGTGCGAAAGATTTTTCAAAGATTATCGGAGACTTCTTAGATCATACGATTTAGCTGTGAGCATAGAAAAACGGAAAAATCATATCTCACTTAAAACTCAATGAAATCGTTTTCACAATATAATCAGGTGAGAAGAATAAATAGTTAGAGCAGTGAAAAACGTTGAATTCATCTTTTTCCAACGGTGATTTCCGTAAGACTCGTTAAATCTCAGAGTAATCATCATGCTAATCAAGTAAAACACAGTATTTTTTATAAATTTCAAGTTGTTTGCTTGAAATATTCAGTCAGATATGAGATTTTTTACTTTTACATGAAAAATGTATAAGCTAACTAAAAAATGTCAGTGCATTATCGCTCGTTCTCTTCAGCAGAACATCAGAACAATTTGGTTAACATTTAGTTTTGTAGAGAATAATCTGAGAAACTAGGTGGACTCTTTTACAATCTTCAGTCGTGTATTTTTTAGATGTAAATAATTTCTAAATAATATTGATCAAGATTTTTATGCTTCATTAAAAGGAAAAAAACAACCATTTGTTCTATTTGATGTTCTGCCGATTAAACATCAAATAATATAAACAAATAGTCGATCTTGGCTTGAACACAAAACGTATGCAAGTTTCAGTTCTAAATTCAGTGGAAGTACCTATCTTAAAAATTCTGCTTTTCACGACCTATATAATATAGTAGAGCAAAAAATCTTTCAGTTTTCTTTTTAAAGATCTTTCTCAGACAGTACAAATAAAAAGTTAATTGAACAAAGCATTCAAATACAAACAAAGGAAGTATTTTTATAACAAACAAAGATGGACATATTGTTCTAAATATAAAATACAAAAAATTGTACAAGTTACTTGAATTTTTTTTTAGGATTTGATATACCTTTCAAGAATGGATATTTCATTTAAACATTCACAATTCAATTGTTTTAACAGTTTTAAAACTATTTTTTCATATAAAAGTTTAAAAGCTGGATGATGAACTGATATTACTGTATTATACATTTTTTTTTTCGATCAGACGTTTCTTGTTTACAATGCGAACAAAAAAAATGTCATTTCGATGGACATGCGGCTTTCCATTGTTCAGCTCTTCCAGACAACTTTGACATGTGACTTCATCGCCCACATGAAGTCTCAAAAATATTCTTAAACGATAACCATTAGTTGTTGTATAGAAATTTTAAAATCTTTTGTTGATATTATCGCACTATCTGAACTATCTTTGAAAGCATATTCATCGCTAGCTAGCGCAAACTGATTTCGATTGGAATAAACATAAGATTCATGTTCAACCCACTTTTTGTCATTTGAATTGTTTGATGATATGAATGTAAAACTGAGCCAAATGACAGAATGCATTGCCCAAAATCATAGCAAATATTTCTTAATGTATTTCATAATGGAAAAGAATTTCATTCCCCAATATATAAAATCATACAGAGGTTTAAAACGTTCCAACCTCACGTTTTTGTAACCGAACGGTTAAAACGTCATGTCAACCTGGCGTTTTAACCGTCAGGCTGGAAAAAGTGTCAGATTAGAACGGTTAACGGATCGGGTTAGAACGGATAAAACGTCAGGCTTTTGCGCATCAGGTTTTGACGTTTAAACCATCAGGTTAGCACAGTTTAAACGTGCGATTTTTTTACAGTGTATGAAAGAAACAGTTCTATTACATTTATTTTTTTGGCCTATACTAAAAGTTGAGACGTTGGGACAGATAGGATACACTTTTCAGCCAATAACAAGCAACTGTATATAAGGCATTTACACACTCGAAGTGCATAACTACCACATTTTGGCTTTCTTGTTATTGGCTACCCAATGAAAAAGCGCGTCCCGCCTGTCCTAATAGGAGCTAGAATTTGGAGCTAAAAGGAGACAACGTGTGTTGCGTGTGTTTCGTAGCTTTGTAAGAAGTTTCGTGCCAATAACAGCTGTCAATAGCAGATACCTTCAACATTGGTTAAAAATTGACTGCCAAGAGAAAACATGTGCAATTGGCAGGTAACTTCTAACTACGCGTGTGTCTGTTTGCGTGACGAGTTGACACAATGATGACTAACGATCACGAACCGATGACCGTAAAAATGACGACTTCAGATGATGACTAGGATTTTAAACAAAGATACGCGATTGCACAGTTTTTTGAGTACCTTGTGCTCAGTACGAGTAGAAACCTTATAGGAAGCTACATCGCAAAAATAACGTTCAAAAGTCGGTGCTTGTTACTTGACACCTCTTTTTATTTGGCGCTTTTTAGTGTGAATTTTTGTAAGAGTTTTCTATTTGACGCTTTCTTTTGGTATTGAATTTTGCGCATTTCTCGCTGGTGATGGTCACTCTGGTGAATGTACTTCTGGACTTTTTCGAGTATATTTACTTGTCAATGCAAAAGAAAAAAGGATGACTGGCTCCTTCAAGCACTTGGCTGAGGCGAGTCAAGTAATGACACTTGATAAGTTCTTGCTCAAGTACTTAACTTGTCAGGTACTTCCCAAATATTCATTAAGTAATCAAATACTTGTACCAAGTACACTCACTAGAGCAGTTAGGTTCTAATAAAAATTCGTATAGGCAGTTTTCTACAAAATTTAAGTTGTCTGTCGAATGAGCTCATTTTAAAATTTTTGCATAATCAGTAATAACTGAAAAAATGTGTTACAAATGTGCCTTATTTAATCTGCGCCACACGTTGTATATAAATATATAACTTAATGTCTAAAACTAAATTCGGACTAATATTTCAATACGTTTGGGCATACAACGCATTTGTTCAACAGCTACACTAGAAAAAGTATTTTAAAAATCAAATACTCGAGTACTTTAATTAATAAAAAAATCCTGAGTATTTTACCTTTCGTTTACATTTATTTATCATTTTTTTCTTTCTTTCTCCAAAGACGAACTGTTTTTATTTCCAGCACAGCGCAGATCGAATTGTATTCGTTAAACAAACCTAATTCTTGATTAATTTGTGTTCAATGATGCTCTCAACCTTTAACTCTACAAAACTTATTTAGAAAATTCGTTTTAGAACATGAAAGGAACAGAATTATTGGAATATCTCAAATATGTTATCTGATATATTTTCAAAAAAATTATATTAGGGCTGATCAAGTAACTCTTAGAGGCTTTTCTCACTCTACTTGGAGTTCTATGAGATTTTTTTCGAGGTTAAAAGGCAGATTTAAGCAAATTCTCTCTTTTCGAACCTCTAATTTTGGATAATGTTAGCGGAGTTTGCTGTGCGTTGAGACTAAAAACATAGAAAGAAAATCAGAGTTATTCAGTCATGAGTGGCATGTTTATGTCCACAGAGAAAACGTTCTAAGAATTATAATTATACCCTATTAAGATCCTAACAACAATAACAGATTGTTTACTAATATGAGTACGAGAATTAAGCCAGTCAGAAGTATGGTATCATTCGCGAGCTATAGATTACACAAGGGACATATCGCACTATTCGATACTCTTAACTTGTGACAATAGATATGAAGTCAGTATTTGTTTTAAATTAAACTAGACATATAAATCCAAAAGAAGAGGAGGTCACTCTGGAGAAAATACGCTGCTCAGACATATAGTAGGGCTACTCTTTTGCTTCTCACTTTACATGAGTAAAAAACATAAAATCGTTGATCGTTGTTTGAAATGCTGTTAGTCTACTTACATTTCCACATTGGTTCCTTCTAAAATGGCGTATTTTTTTTCTAAATAATGGTTACTTTTTAGCAATAACATAACAAACTTATTAGTTTTTTACACTATGATATCTCCGACATCTTCTTCGTTCAATCCAACTACTACTTCATCACGTGACAACTATAACAATACCAGCTCTCGCCTTCACCCAACCATCACATCAGATTTTATTGAACATCCACAGCACAGTTACATTAGTTTAAGCGATGCAAAACAATCACCGTTACCGCCTTTGAATCTTCGTCGTCAAGGAGGTAATGATAGTTTTTAGTGACCTCTATTGTTTAGATGTTTATCTTGTTATTCTACTGTTTGAAGATACATCTTCAATATCAAATGATCGTCATTTATCGTTACCTGATATAACAGGTGGTACCGGATCGACATTAGCAACAATGGCCTCAACTCCAGCTAAATTTTTGTTGACTCGTACCGCTTCAACAATTGAAACATTAAAACAATGGAGTAAAACAACGTTTAAATGTACAAAGCAAGTCATCAATGAAAAATTAGGAAAATCATCAAGAACAGTTGATGAAGAATTAGAACAACAGATCGAAGTAAGTTTAAATTTGTTATTTCTATGTTCAGTAGTGTATATATACTCTTGTTTGTTAGAAAGTGGTAATATTATTGTTTTTCATAGTCTGTAGTTGAATGTTTGTGTAAACTTTATCTTTTTTTTCTCACTACAATCAAATAACGGTAGGATTTAAATGTAGTATTAGATTTCTTATGATCTGATTGAATCTAATATGAAATATAGAGCTCACATAGTCGCTATTCAACACTTGCTGTGTAGATTTTTCGTAATGTGTTTGTTTGTATACTGCAGCAATTGAGAGATCTGAAACGTCATTATGAATCAATGTTGTCAACCACACAAAAAATGGCCGTTCACTTTTCAAATTTAATAACTACACAACAGATGCTGAGTCAGTTAAAACTAAATACATTTAATATACTTCAACACTTTCTCTTATTATTTAGGAGATTCATTTGATATTCAACAAAAATCTGGTGAGTTAGTAGATGAATTTGGCAATAATGCAAATGTACAACGGCTATTAGCCGCAAACGGAGAACAATTATTAAGTAAGATTAATGAAACAATGTTGTAAATCTACATACAAAGTGTTTTCTTTATTCGCAGGTGCAATGAATTTTTTTATTTCAACATTACATACGTTAATAACAAAAACAATTGAGGACACGATGAATACAGTCAAATTATATGAAACTTCACGGTAAAAATGTTTATTTACCCTATACTCTTAATGACTAAGTATATTCGGGTGCCTTTACAAAGTCATTTACTTCAAATGTACTGTGTTCGAACCTCAGCGGCGCGCCGGCAGGTCATGTAATAATCTTGGGCAAATTACTTTTATCTTCGTGTCCCAGATCACCCATCCGACAGCAAATTCACTACGTTCTGACGCACAATACGTGCTCTTCTGATTAGTTCACATAGCTTTCAAGCAATTGGGCGAAAGAGCTCTGCATCACGTTAGCCTTCTAGTCAGAGCGATAGTTGATGATCAGTAACGATATGGGTGACCATGCCAGAAGCTTGTCAGTTGCAGGGAAGATATTTGACTAGTGAAACTATCACTTGATAACATCCTACACTGATAAGCGTAGCCGGTAAGCGAGGTATTCTTCCTTCTTCCTTTCATTTTGGTCATTCTCAAGTACGTATGAGTAAATAAATTTTATTTTATCCGTTACCTGTTCTAGAATTGAATATGATGCTTACCGAAATGATTATGAATTATTAATAGCAAATAAAATCACAAATGTATCGTCGTCGTCATCGGCATCAGAAGAAATTATTCGGCGAAATTATCAGCAACATAAAGAACGTTATGAAAAATTCAAAGCTGATGCGACAGTTAAACTAAAATTCTTGGACGAAAATAAAGTATGTTTTATTTATTTCTTGTCGTTTTCTAAACAATGTTTGAGAGAAGTAGTCATAATTGTCGCATAAAATTATTCTTTATTACATAATGTACTCTACGTTTCGGTCTCTTCTTAAACTACTAAACTTTTCTGAAGATTAGTCTTGAGAATGGCTCTAAGAAGAGTACATTATGTAATAAAGAATAATTTTATGCGACAATTATGACTGTTTCTCTCAAATATTGTTTATCATTACGATGCAAAAGAAATGGAAAAAATGTCGAGCATTATTTCTGCATGTTCCTGATGCGCTGACCATTTAATTATTTTTCTGTTATAAAGAGCAAAGTCTGAACTACCAAGAACACTTTTTTTAATTGAGTTTAAGTGAGAAGAAATCTAAATACGAAACGCCGCCCAAAAGCTCTTGCAACTTCCATTCTCTTGAAATATATCGCTCTCATCAAAAGTATTTTTTCACTATAGCAGAGTAAGTTTGAAATTATGTGATTATAGGAACTAGAAGTGTTTTTATTGCTCTTTTGAATCCGATGTGATAAATTATCTTTCGATCTACTTTTCAATTAGAAATTCATGACTTTTTCATTTGTTATAGAAAAAGAGTTGATTAGGCCTAATTAATAATTTTCATATACTAAATGAACTTTGTCCTTTTGCTAAAACACATTTTCTAAAACAACATTCAATTCTCTGCAAGGTCACATTAATCTTCATTTTTACTGACACATCTTAAGTCCTAAATAACAAATTTTCTCAATGTCGTGCCTTTCTCATGAAAAATACAGTTTTCATCAAGGAGTTAATGAGAAATTCTCGCCAGTAGATGGATCAATACAGTTTTGCGCAAACGACATTGTCATCTATTTAGTTTTCAAAAAGGGTTTTCTCCTCAGATTGCAGTGAAAAATTAAAGAAAAAAGTGCATTGCAAGAGCATTTTAAGCGACGTTTGAGATTTATATTTTTTCTCACTCAAACTCAATTACAAAAAATTTTCTTTTCTATGTTCTTTGAAGTTCAGACATTACTCTTTCTAACAAAAAAATAATTAAATCGCCAGCGCATCAGAAACATGCACAAATAATGCTCGACATTTTTTCGATTTCTTTTGCATCGTATAATATGTCGATTATTGTCTGTAGTACCATTTAATTTTGTCTTTATTTACTTAGATAACTATGATTTTTCGGTTTTAATAACAATATTAGTTAAAATATTTTAAGTAGTTTGAACATTTTGTTCAATTTAAGACACTATCATTACACATATATCACAGCTTTAAATTGTTAGCATTTAAGACTGTGAATACTCTTTTTCTGCTAGTGGCTTTTTTCTTTCGAAATTTTGAATTGTCGTAGAGTTACTGGTAGCTCTAGATGACAGATAAGGCCGTTAGTCTGATACATTTGTCTAAGAACTAGTCTAAAGCTGTAAAGATTGAATTCGTCTTCAATTTAATTAGGAATATAATGCTTTTAGCTGTCACCGTTAGCTAATTGTTGAATTAGAGCAGTTTTAATTTTCTTTTTGATCGAGAAATTTCAATTTGCAATTGATCATAGTGTTTGACATATATATTAGAAAAGTTCATTAAATACACAGTTTTTTAGAGATTCTTTTGTTACAACTTGATATATTTGGGATAATAATCTGAGATTTGACCTTTGGGAAAGAGACATTTTATTGTACATGTGTCTGTTTGCTATGTGACATTGTTTTTGTTGATCCAATACTTCAGAAAGGAGAAATAACATATAGCCAGGTTATATCAATATTAAAAATACTGCTCAAAACATAATATTAGCTAAGTTACTTATATTAGTTTTGAACACTTTTCTCTAACGATGACTTTATTTTTTGTATTTCTAGACAAAAGTAATGAAAAAACAATTGGTGCTATTTAATAATGCAGTTACATCTTATTTTTCTGGTAATCAACATGCATTAGCTGCAACAATTAAACAATTCAGTATTAAACCTACATCTAACACAACAGATGCTGAAAATGGTGACGAAAAAAAATAGATAAACAGTATTCATTATTAGTATCTCGAGAATGATTTTTTCTTAAATCTCTATTATATGCTATGATTTATATTTTTCTCTATCTTCTTCTAGTTGACACTGTGCATTATAAATCTAAGTAATATTATTTTATTGTTTTTTTGATAAACCTTACTCAATTTTTTGGTGGTGGCTAACGTTTTTTTGTTTTTGTTTTATTTAACTTATTTTGTTTAATATTATTTTATTTGTTGAGTTTTTCTATTGTTTGTTTGTTTTTGGATTGTTATGACATTTATGTTGTTTTTATAAATAAAAAATAATACTAGAATTTTACATACTTTTTCTGGTTAATAAGAGGTACATCTCTCGTTGTCTCACACAAATATGTTAAAAAACTTGACGATTTCATCTTTTGTTTTTTATGTTCTTAGAGCACTTAGAAATGCTGAAAAGCAGCTATATTCTTAAGCATTTTTGTTTAAGAAAGCTGTATGAAACAACGATATAGTTGCGTTAGTACATGTTTTTTTTTCTTCGAGGATGAACTTGTGTTTCATGGCATTTATCTGCGCTCAAAAGCTACTATTACTTTCCACTTTCTTAGAAGAAAAGCGTATATACGAAATTGACTTACATTCTTATGAGGGAACATTTCAAGGTGTTATCTCCCATCTTGATTCATTCGTGTCCCAATCGATAGAGTATATCGAGATACTAGCCTAAAAGGACTTTTCCCCATAACTCTTGAAGACCCGATCTTCTGCAAAACCAGTTTTTGAGAAACTCTAAAAAATAACCAAAACCCTTTTTAATGAGGCACGATTGTAGTCCAAAAATTTCTAATTAAAATGAGACATCTCCCAGCTCTACACGACCTTTCTTTGCAAAATTATACAATTTACAAGAAAAGCCCTAAATTAATTTCTTATTTCTTTACCTGTGAACTGACAATGAACGTTTAGGGCCAGTGGCGTAGCCACGGGAGGGGCCTAGAGGGCACAGGTCCCCCCATCCTGGAAAGTTAACTTGCACTCGAACGAATAGAATAAAATATCAGGTATCAGAAAATGGACGAAATGCGTAAAGGGATCTCTGAAATCGTTGATCACCACAACGGCAGTATCGAGAAATCAACCGCGGATATAGTGAAAATTCTTTTTAAGCCGATTCTCTCATTTAATGTTAATGGAGGTACCTTTATGAGCTTTAAACAGCCGTTTTTGACAAAAAGAGAAAAACAGAAATACTACAAAAACTTTTTTTGCGCAATATAATACGAGTAGTTTTAAGATATCCCAGCACTAAAGCATAGAGTAAAAGGATAATTTTAGAAATAAAAAGTTATGTCGATTTGGTGGAATTATACAATTTACAAGAAAAGCCCTAAATTAATTTCTTATTTCTTTACCTGTGAACTGACAATGAACGTTTAGGGCCTTTCTTGTAAATTCTATAATTTTGTAAAGAAAGATCGTGTAGAGCTGGGAGATGTCTCATTTTAATTAGAAATTTTCGAGCTACAATTATGCCTCATTAAGAGGGGTTTTGGTTATTTTTTCGAGTTTCTCAAAAACTGGTTTTCTAGAAGATCGGACCTTCAAGAGCCATGAGGGAAAGTCCTTTTAGGCTTTCTACTATCTCGATATACTCTATCGATTGAAATATGAACGAAAGATGACGCCTTGGAATTTTCTCTCCTTAGTAGCATTCTGTTTACATTGACGAATCGGGATATCGCAACACTTGTGTATTGGACGGTAGTTTTTCCCATATCTTATCCTCCTGTTTTGATCGTGCTAAATTTGTTCATTTTTATCTTTGACATGTTTATTTTTAGTTCTTTCTTCTTATCAACCAGAAGCAAAAAATGGCAACATCATTTACAAGTAATAAAATGTTAATGTTACAAAATCGCTTATTAACGGTAACTGAGTTAAACATGTCGTGTCTATTCATAAATTCGCCTTAATCATTGAATTCTATTATCATTTTAGAGTGGTGATAATGTTTCAATTGATTTGTATAAAGAAATAATGATTGAATACTTGTTGGCAATGAAAACGTATGTAATATCGTTCCTAAAGAGCGTACCAAAACGATCTTTCTGCGTATTTTCCTCGAGTAAACCTCTCCTAGACTAGAGTAGCATGGCTTTTTATTATAATATCGCTTATCAAACATTTTTTATCGAAAAAATTGTGATCCAATAATAATTTATAATTTTACGAAAACTTCGCTCTAAACTGGTCTTCTAATCTGAGAAGAGATTTACAGCGTGTTCTTTTTAGCCTAAAGAAGAGCTTAATTAACTACGTTGTTTTTATTCTGTCTGTTTGTAGTGTTGAAGCTAGATTTGTTTGGGAAAATTTACCTCCTCAGTTTCAAGTTGATATAGAATTTCAACAATTATATAAAATATGTGGTGCACTACAAAACAAAAACTATTCAAATTTTTATGCATTAATAAGAGATTTTCAATTTTCATCGACAATGTCAAGTAGTATAGAACAATTACAAGGTATATTTGCCATATCTCTAAAGTATTTTATTGCTATCAATTCGATTCTTTGTTTAGAACGAGTTACACTAAAAAATTTACAATTAATTGAAAATGCTTACAAGTCTATATCATTTGATGATATTCAATCAATTTTTGGAATTACAAGCAAAGTGGCTCGACAATGTACGTAATATTCTGCGATATAAATAAATTATTTTATCGAATAAAGAATGAGAACGTTGTTTAATGTTTCTCAAAAGAACTCAAATAGTGTCAATTGTTTCGTAATTCAAATCAAAATCTATTTTCGTTTCTTTTTTAGTTTGTGAAAAACGTGGTTGGCAAAAAGATTCAAGTGATCTGTTTGCATTACCATGTCGAAGTGGTATGCTACTTTATTTTCGTTTAATCACTATTTTCTTATAATTAACCTTGTATATATTTTAGCTGTCACAGTTGCATCAAACTCTGATATAACAAAATTAGTTGATATGGTCTGTTTTTCACTCAAGAAAATATCACTGGAGGTTCATTGCTAACCGATTTGCTTATTCGTAATGTTTATTATCCAAGTACGAATAGTAATCAAACGGATGGTGGAACTATTCTTGCATCATACACTGGTGAACAA